CTGGTCTCGAACTCCTGACCACAGGTGATCTGCCTGCCTCAGCCTTCCAAAGGGCTGGGATTACAGGCGTGAGCCACTGCGCCCGGCCAAAAATAAGCTCGTTTTGTTTGTTTGTTTGTTTTTGTTTTTTAAGTATCTGCACTCCCTACTTGGGAGGGCTGGACTCAAATTCCCACCTCTCTTTCCCCTTACGGGGTTATATTAAGATCTCATTCATACATCTCTAAACTTCATATATCCCAACAGGGACTTGGGCTGGGCTAGGAAGCCCTCTTCTTCCACCTCAACTACGACTTAGCCACCCACCGTTTTCTCAAAGCTATTCCTTTCCCCACCCGACAGCTTAACCCAAGTCACATGTCACATTGGTCTCAAACCTGAAATAAGGTCCTGACTCCTCATTTCCCAAAATATTTCCATGAACCCAGCAATATCCTTTCCTGCCCTGATTATCCCGCACCCTCCATTTCGGGTCCTTATCACCCTGATCAATGAGAATTGTACTAGCAAGCAAATCTTAAATAGACCTCTATTTAAGAGGTCTATTTAATCATGCCCTTTCTAGATTGCAAAGTAGATAAAAATCCAGCTCTTCGTTAATTAAGGGGTTAATTACTGAGCATCATTTATTTATTGGGCAGTGGTTCTCAATATGTGAACCCAGGACCAACAGCTTCAGGATCACCTGAGAACCTGGGCTCCCGCCTCCGCCTCCCCCCACTACTAAATCAGCAACTCAGGAGTTGGGGGTAGCACTCAGTATTTTAACAAGGTCTCCAGGTGATTCTGACGCGCGCCACTCTTCTGGGGGTGCAAAAAAACAGAGAGGACAGGAAGGAAGAATGAAAGCCCATCTACGAATCAGATAAGCGAGAGGGGAAGGGGTGGTTATTTTTAAAATGATAACTAAGAACTCGTATGTAGTCAGAAAACCTACCCTGCCCCAGAGAGCTTTCCCGAAAGATAATGGATTCCGATATTCACCTCAAGAACCGGCAGACAGAGCAGCAAGGGATCTGCCGCCGGCCAAGCACGTCCCTGGCTAACGCACCGCTGGGGGCAGCTCGCGGCTGTTCAGGGTTAATTCTCGGCAACCCTCCCCGACCCGGTACCCCACCGCCGCCCGGGGCCTGCGCTATGATGAACCATAGAGCTGAGCACTCCTCCCAGATTCCTAGAGCGGACAGTGCAAAGGCGGGTTGGCCGGGTATGAGGTTTCACAGCGGTCCGGAGACCACATCGAGGTACGGTGATGTCGGCTCGCGGATAGCCCAGAAATTAGAGGTGATCTTCCCTAACAAGCGACCTCACAGCCCGGAAACTGTGCGCGGTTTCTCGAGACCTCGGAGAGTGATGGCCGCCGGGATCGCTCCCAGGCACGTAGAGCCTTTCGGTTCTCGGCCTCGTGTTCGGTTGGTCCCCAGTCAGCCCAGCTGGTCTTGGGTGCAACCAAAAGAATGCCGGAAACTCTGTGGGGTGGGTGGAGTCACCAAGCGTGGTGTATCCACGTGAATCAGCCGACCGTACTGGGAAAGAGCCACCTGAATTTGTGAGTGTTGGAAAAAGCAAGAGGGGAAGAAAAATGATCAATAAGTGTCATTTTTTGATAGGAAGAGCAGCGAATATCTTAGTGTTAACCACTAGAATCGATTGTAAAATTCCCTTCCCTGCTCTATCTTTCCAGTTATACATTTATTTTTGTAGTATTAACCCGTAATTTTGTTTGAACATCTCAAGACTTCGAATGGGGAATGTGTGTCTTAAGTGGGGTAATCCCTGGCTCTTGGATTATGGGGAGGAAGCCTAATACATTCTGAGAGAAAAGCAACTAGAAGTCAAATGAGATTTTGTTTTCTCCTTCTTTTATATCTTGAGGATTTTGTGGTGGTCTGTTTCGGAGATTACATCTCTAGTCAGCACATTGATTCCCTTCCAAGCCCAGTGGTGCCCAGTTGCGTCCAGGTCCCAGACCTTTAAGTGGACAAGAAAAGCTTTCAGAGGAAATAGTAATTCTCCACTTGCTCTCTGAGGTATCCAGTTGCAGCCCATGGAGATCCAGTTCAATTATGAATCTCAGGAACATAACCTTCTGTCAGGTGAGCGTCAGGGTATTATATCTTTCTTAGTGGTTTTGGCAGGGTGGGGAGGATGAGGGGGTGTCACCTGTGCTAGTGTCTTCGAATGATTCCCCTTAACTCGGCTAGGCAGTATTACCCCTTTAGTGCACCAGGCATAGTCACATGACTTTATTTCAAAATCTGGCAATCAAATTCTCATGCAGCTCCCTCCACTTTTTTGAAACCCCAAAGTCATTCATTTTTCCCTGTATAATGACCTCATTACCAATCTGTTAGTTTTGGTCATTTTTCTTATCTACTGTAAGGGTAGAGTTAAAAGTTCTGGAGTCTGACAACCTGGATTCAACAGTAGTTTTGTCACTTAACTAGCTACAGTAAGTTACTCATATATTTTATAATTCTGTTTCCTCACTTTACAAGTGTATAGTAAGTCATACCTTGAAGTTATTTTGAGATTTGTATCTCTATATTACTCCAGAATAAAGAACCCCAAAATTTAGTGACCTAAAACATCAGGCTTTTTACACCACATTATTTCTTATGTTTCTGTAGGTCATCAACTTGAGCTGGGTTCACCTGGGCAATTTTTTTTTCTGTTGGTCTTTTCTGGGGTTACTTATGCGGTCATCTCAGGGCTGGCTATACTGGGGCCAGGGTCTAAGATGGTCTCAATCACATTGTCACAATGTCTGACTGTTGGTGCCAGCTATGGCTTGAGTCCACATGTCTTCAGCAGGCAACCCTGGACTTTTTCACACGACAGCTTGTTTCCAGTCAAAGAGAAGGCAAGCTCTCCAATATATAGCACTTTTCCTACCTATGTTTGTGTTTCAACTGTTAATGTCTCATTGACCAAAGCAGGTCATATGACCAGTTCTAAAGTCATTGTAGAAGGAGACTACACAAGGATATATGTACTGGGAGATAGGATTCACTGGGGTACATTAATACTACAACAGGCCAGTTGCAGTGGCTCACGCCTGTAATCCCAACACTTTGGGAGACTGAGGCAGGAGGAATACTTGAAGCCGGGAGTTCAGGGCAAGCCTGAGCAACAAAGTGAGACCCCATTTCTATAAAAATTTACATAATAGTCAGGCATGGTGGTACCTCTAGTCCCAGCAATTTGGGAGGCTGAGGTGAGAGGATTGCTTGAGCCCAGGAGTTCAGAGACAGCAGTGCACCACTGCACTACAGCCTGGGGGACAGAGTAAAATCCTGTCTCTAAAAAACACCAATAAAAAAACTAAAGAAAATCTTAATGTAAAACTCTGAGCACAGACTTTGCTTACAGAAAATTATTTATAATTGGTAGCCACTATTATTTTATATAAGATAATTTTGATCTCAGCTTTGTTCAGGTGTTCTGTAGGGTCTCATTTCCACATCATACGTTACTTCTTTTTGGTTTGTCCTCTCATTGCTGCTGTTTTTCCTGAGTCACCTTCCATTGTCCCTTTTTTCACTCTAGATCTTCTGCTTCTTATTAGTTTTTGAGCATCTTTTTTTTTTAGTTTTTCTCTCCTGTGTCTAGAACTTGTCCTTCCTTAATAATCTATTTTAAGACATCTAGCTCTTATCTTTCCTGAGAATCTCTGCAGAATTGTACTTCCTCCTTGCAGTTTTACATAAATTGATATATTTAGTCCTTGTGTTTATGTCTTTTAGAGTATGTATAAAATAACATTTTATTATAGAGTAATACAGTTATACTAAAGTCAATTTGTAAAGTATGAGAACACAAAACAAAATTTAAATAGCCTTCAGCCCCACCCTCTAGAAATAGTCACTGCTAACATTCATATATCCTTAAAATCATTTTTCTAATGAATTCACCAAATATTTATTATTGATAAATGTTTGTTAATTAATAAGATCATACCTTATTAATTAGTAGCCATATAATATGATGATTAGTTATTAAGGCTTTGCCCTGTGCCAATAACTGTTCTAAGTGCTGGTGATATAGCAGTGAACTGAACACACAAGGCCTTTGCTGTCAAAGTGCTTACATGCTAGTGGAGGGAAGGACAAAATAAATGAATGTTCATTATATTATCAGATAATGATAATGGTTATGGAGAAATTAAACCAGGGTATATCAGTCAGGATTCTAGCAAGAAACAGATGGCTCATTCTAGTGCAGTAATTCGAAATTTCATGAAGAGGATGGGGATGATTACAGAAATCAGCAAGTGATGCAGAACAGTCTTGGGTCAGACAACACTGGGAAGCAGTTACTACCTGTAGATCTTCAGGGACAAGGGGAAAGATTGATTACCAGGTCCTGGAAAGTATAGCTGTAGGATTTAGCCACCTGATAGGAGCTCCAGCCTTTGCTAAAAGGCTCATCTACTGGCCCAGCAAGGAGACAGCCAGGATGTAGGGTGACCAGTTCATCCCAATATGCCTGGAATTTAGCACTGAAAGCTGCAATAGCCCCTTCAGTTTTAGGCAAACCAGTACAGTTAGTCACTCTACTATTTTCCCATTTGGGTCCAAATCTACTTGCATACCAGAGGGCGTGGAACCCCAGGTGATGCAGTCCATCAACATCAATCTCCTGGGGCACAGAGCAGGGTGAAGAGTAGATCTGGAGGGGTGAAAGGAGAATATTCATTATAGTATGTCACTTTTATCCTGCCATATCCACCCCAACATAGCAGAAAAACAGAGTCCCTTAAGCTGTCATTTCATTTCAGGTTGACATAATTAAATCATATTCCCATCTGAAGCCTGGAATTTAACTGCCACTAGTGGTCTTCATATAAAATGGTGAGGGATGGGGAAAAAGACATAATTACAGCTCCTGTTTTTGCTATTCACAAAGCCTAAGCTGATAATCCTAATTATCTTCTTCCATTATCCATTTTATATCTCCCTTACTCTCTGCCAGTACCTCAGTGCTTTCCTGGATGATCTGAGTCCTCAGTAATCCTGCTTCTTTCAGGCTGCTTCAGTGTACTGTTGACTAGGCCTATGAGAGGACTAAGACATATCCCAGTGAATCCTTGAGTTCCAGACATATTCTTTCTTGACCTTCTATGTAGCAGCAACCAGTTCCCCCTTGGTAATTGGGATCAGTTATCCTGGCCAGTAAAGTGATCCCTTCTATGTTGGTTCAGCAGCATGAGGATCCCAAAATGACCAAGAGACAGTTTCATCTTTGAATTTAACAAAATCATGACTTTGTTCCATGGTGGAAACATTTGTCCTTTGAGCACTAGAACTTCAAACTCAGCATGCCACAATTACAGGGATAGTAAGCAAAAATAATATAGGCGAATAATTAGGTCTCTAATAAGAGGACCATTCTCACTCCTCCTCCACCCTTGGTTCCTGTCCCTGTGTATGTATTCTGGCCATGGAGAAAAAAAAACAATATTTATTGTCCTTTGGTTTAAGGCATGTATTGCATCTATATGACCACACCCCAGATTTACAGGGTGTTGTGTTGTTGGGTAGGTGGCACTGTAACTGAGCCTTAGCAGATCATTCCACGTATTTCTGGGTGATGGGGCATATGGCAAGACCTGTGAATTGCATGTATGCGAACTCACTGCTATACTTTCTTTCCTGAAAAATGAGTTATTTGGAGGCAGCTTGGTATCAAATACCTGGTAATAAACATAACCTTATCTTACGTAAATGCAAATTTGTGTCTGGACTAAGTATTTAATATTTTGTAAACAAATTGCTGCTCTCTTTTTGATAGAAGTGGTTCAGTGTGATGAATCTGCCCCCATTTCCAGGGAATGGTACCTTTTTTGGGGCTTGGTTTTGGCCTTAGCTGCTTGGGTACATAGCAGTTGTGTTAGGCATATCAGCCTTCATGAGGGGAGGTCAATATTGTTAAGCCCATGTAGAGTTTTCATTCCCACTGCCATGACTGCTTTGTACATGAGCCTATTGGATAAGCATTGGAAAAGAAGCTCATTGAAATTCATAAAATAGATCACCATGTCTGTCTGATGGAAAGGCTTTTCCACAGTGGATACCCTTTGGTGAGGATTCACATGGGACACAAATATATTCATATTCATTGCCCATTCTGGGAATTCCATCCTCATACTTTTCCCCCAGAATCTTTGCTTCTAGTCCTCCAATCTTGTTCTTTCCAGGTTCCTAAATAATCAAATAACCCATTAGTCACTACCCATGAATCAATATAAACATATATCTTAGACTATGTTACCTTTGATGAAAAGTGGACAAGTAGGTACATATGTGAAATTCTTCCCACTGGGAGGATTTGCCTTCACCAGTGTGTCTGAGGCCACTTCTGAGTAAGGATATAAGTGAAAGCTATTTACTTTTGGCTGGTGCTCCCCCATCTGTAAACCAGTTCTATAATTTTTCCTCAGCTGTTAACTGGTAATAGGGAATTCCCATGGGACCATGAATATAAACTGAGGGGGAGAGGTAGTGAAGCAATAGGACCAGGTACTATGGAATCCTAGTCACTTGTGTACAGAATTTACTTGTCTTCGAGACTTTTTTTTGCAATGGAATGTTGATTTGTGTGTGATTTGGTGGAATAAGTAACAACCGATACACAATGAGTAGTCTGTAATGTGTAGTCATTTGGTGCTCTGTGTTCAAGTGTGAAATCTCTATCAGTGCCCAATAGTAAGCCAAGATCTGCTTTTCTTATAGAAAAGTGTTGCTGACAGAAGATGTAGGGTGGTCCTCTATGGAGGCTTGTGAGAGGCTCTATACAGCATCCATGACTGCCACTGGCACTTCCAATTCCGCTAGTTATCCTGGGTAATAAGAGTCTCACTCAAAAGTAGCAACCTTACAGGTTAATTAAATTGGTCATTTCAGCTCACTGAGCTGTGATGTCTGTTACCTCAAAAATGCAGAGGCGCTGCAGGTCTTGCACCTCCCTGCAATGGTAACGTTTGGGTAGAGCTATAAATGAAGTGAGAAAACAAGGCATGTGACTATCAGAGTGTTCCAAGAAGAGGGAGTAGCAAATGCCAGAGGCTCCTATATGTATCAGGAACAGAGGGAGC